AGCAGGGAGGGAGGGGCAAAAATGAGGAGCTGATACCAAGGGCTCAAGTAGAAAACATGTTTTGAGAATGATGATGGCAACAATGGTACAAATGTGCTTGACACAATGGATGGATGTATGGATTGTGATAAGAGTTGTACGAATCCCTAATAAAATGATTAAAAACAAAACAAAACACTGTCAGTCCTTCAACTCACAAGGACTGCTGGGTGCAAGTCAAGGAAGCAGACAGCTGAGTCTTCTGTAGAGCGATGAAGGCAGTCCGGCCACAGGCAGCAAACAGCAGGGCGGGTCACCAACTGTCAGCCAGATGACAGGGTCCGACAGTCCCCAGGTCAAGCGATGTATGCATCAGCAGTGTGGCAAAGCAGGTCTCAAAGGAACCTCAAACTATAGCGACACAATCCACGGCTTGGGCGTCCCACAGGTAGTGGGGCTCACTAGTTGAGGCAGAGAACTAGCTAAGGCAGCCGCGCACTGGTCTGATCATCAGACAGCAAGTGACAGAAAGGCGTGGCTTGCCAAGTCATTTATCTCTTTGCACTTCAATTAAACTGCAACCTTATTAATCCATGTGTCTTTATTGGCCAGGTTGGCACCATAACCCTACCTATCCCAGTGACCCACGCATGCTCCTTGGTGCTTCTGAGTTCTACCTGTAGCTGTCTATGTGCAGACAGGAACCCACCTGAAGGCTGTTCCCCTGGCATCCAAAAGCTATGGCTTTGAGAACTAGAGTGTTCAGTGAGCATTCAAACCTCGAGCCACATGGTACTCACCAATGCTAACCTGCACCATTGTCTATGTGTACGTGAAGGGCTTTGGCATCCACTCAACCTCCTGGTATTGGCCCAGAGGTGAAGCCAGATTGAAACCGAGATGTCTCTATGGGACATGCCTGGGGGGCATGAAAGGCCGAGCTGAGTGGTGCTCCCCCTGCAGGCTTCTCGTGGGATCACCCCAATCAGTCCAGCCACAGCCCAGCCTGTGCCTGGAGCCACTCAAACTGACCAAGGTGTGTGTCTGTCTTTGTGTGTTCTCCAGGAACATCCGCTGGCTCCAAGATGGCCCTGCAGAGCTCCTTCACCTGCTGGAATGGGACAGTCCTTCGGCTCGGCCAGGCCTGCGACTTCCACCAGGACTGTGCCCAGGGAGAGGATGAGGGCCAGCTATGCGGTGAGGAGATGGACGCTGCCTCCACCACCCAGCCCAGCCCACATGCTCTCTCCCCCTCCCGTCCCATTACCTACAACACGTGAGCCTGGGCAACGTTCCTGAGGTCCAGCCCCACCTACCTCTCTCATATGGCAGGACCCACAGGGTTCTTCCCCGTGAGTTAGGAAAGGGGTCGCACCTCCTGCTGATGTTCTCAGCTCCCTGAGACTCAGAGGGAATGTGCAGGGTAGGCCCCAGCCCTGTAACATGCCCTGACTCCACCCCCCTTCCCAGCCCTGCCTTTCCTCATATACCTGCCTCTCCTTTCGAAGCTCAGCCCTTTCAAATCACCTCCCAGCTCCCTCGGGCCTCCCTGCCTTTGATCAGGGGTTCCCTTACCTGCCATTCCTTTCTCATCTGAAGTCAGATCTAGACTCCTTCAAGAAGCACCACAAGAGCCAGCTCTTCTGGGCAGTCTCCGGCGGACTCCCCAGTCCACGTGGTGTGTCTTAGTGATCCAGCGCTGCTGTCTACCACAAGCGGGTGGCGTTAGCAAACAGAAATCTATTTCTTAGCCGTTTAGAAGGTTAGACGACTGGATTCAGTGGGCCAGAGCTAGGGGAGAAGCTTTCTCTCTGTGCCAGCCCTGGAGGACGGTCCGTGTGTCTTTTGAGCAGCTGCTCCTAAGCCGCCTCCATGACACTTGGCATCTCTCTTGATAGCTCTGTTCCTTTTGCTTGTTTGCTTAATCTCTTTTATATTCCAAAAGAGGTGGACTTAAAGTATCCCCTACCCTAATCCTGACTCGTGAACATAACGGAGACAGCCCATTTTGAACTGCATACCTACTCACTGCCACGAGCCCACTCTGACCCATAGTGGCCCTGAAGGTCAGGGTGGAACTGCCCCCCTGGGTTTCTGAGATGGTAGTTATTTACTGGAGGAGAAAGTCTCATCTTTGTCCCATGGAGTGACTGGTACTTTTGAACTACTGACCTTATGGTTAGCAGCCGGATTCGCAACCACTGTGCCACCAGGGCTCCACCTAACCACAGCCATGGAGTTCAAAATTTACAATATGTATGGGGGCTGGGGTGGGAACACAGTTTATTTCTTAACACAACGCACTCAGCTGTCATAGCATCCATCAGTTTAGGTTTGTTTGCTTGTGAACAACTTTATGGAGATATAATTTGCATACGGTGTCACTCACCCATTGAAAGGAGACAGCTCATGGTTTTTCGTATACTCACAGAGTTGTGTAACCATCGCCACTATTGGTTTTAGGACAGGTTCCTCACTTCAGAAAGAAGCCAACCCTGTACCTTCTAGCTGGTATCCCTTCATCCCCTCCCACACAGCCCTCCCCCGAAGCCGAGCTCACGGCCACAGAGTCCTCTCTGACTCTCAGCAACCTTCCGGGGGACAGGGCAGGACCGCCCTTTGAGTTCTGAGGCCTCATCTTACTCCCAGAGAGCTGTTGGTGGTTTTGATCTGTTGACCTTGAGGTTAGCAGCCCAACACGTAAGCCATCACACCTCCAGGGGTCGCTCCTGCATCTTTCCTGCTTCCTGGCACCTGACTGGGTTTTGGATGAAATGTATGGATGTGTGGGAAACCTTGGGCTCCACGAGAGAAGGCAAATTGTTTGTGGGCACGCTGATTAGACGAGACTCGTCTAGACCCCCTGCCACTGCTCGTGCCACGGGGCCAGAGGGATCTCACAGCAGCCTCCCTGGGAACAACTGCAGGGGGGTCTGTAAGCCACACTTACAGAACACCCATCAGGGGCGACCCAGCATGTGCTAGCAACAGGAGCAAGGAAGAAAAGCCCAACCTCTGGCCTCAGAGAGACAAGCACCCCTCCGTTGGGGAAGGACAGGGCAGAGGCTGTCAGAGACAAACGCCTCCCCACCGGGTACAAAGTCCTCACAAGGAACCTGACCTTTATGACTTTATAACAGTGTCCCGTCCCCACCCCCCCAGGTCATCTGGATTCCTCGGGAGGAAAAGGGAGGTTGTTTATTCTCTGTTAATTTTTTTTTTAAATCCAAATGAAAATAGGCCCTGCGATTTCCAAGGCTGTGCATTTTTACTGGCGTAGAAAGCCTCATCATTCTCCCGTGTCATGGCTGGTGGCTTCGAACTGCTGACCTTGCAGTTAAGAACTCAGCGTGTTACCCAGGACACCACCCGGTTCCTGCCTTTTAAGTAGAGAGCAGGAGAGAAGCCCATCCATCCATTCTGAAGCCCTCATCCTTATACACACCTTGCCAGGGGTGCTTCCCACGATCATGGATGTGCGGTGCGTTTTCAGTTAACACAGAGTAAACCACTGCCAGCACGGCTCTGCCCCTGGCCCCTCTCAGAGCACCCTCAGCACACAGGGCCCAACTGCAGCCAGCTCGGCCCTCGCTACCTTGGACAGGCAGCCTCTGTGAGGGGATCCCTCTACTTAGGTGTCTCGGCAGAATTTCCAGCTTTGTGGTTTTGAGTGGCCTTCTTAAAAGTGGTTTGATACCAGGTCCCCAGCTGGGATATGGGTCAGGGAGGCTCGGCCCTGCTTTACAATTGGGAAAATGGTCCAGGCCCTGATGTACAGCTGGGAAATGAAGGCACAGAGAAGGTAGTTGATTTGTCCGGGGTCACACAGGATGTTGGCAGCGGAGCCATGAGCTCACTGAGCCTGTGGGAGGCAGCCCTTGACTGTGGGCCCCAGGCCTGTGCCTCCCACTCCTGAGCCCACCATTTACGGGATGCTAGGGCTAGCCGCACGCTCAAGGGCAGCAGGGCTCCGCTATCGAGGCCAGGTGTCTGAGACCCCAAGGCCTTGGGGGTGAGGGTCGGGGTGGGTCACATTTGAAAAGCCACTGTGACCAGCTGACGAGTCATTTGTCGAATGAATCAGTGGTTGGGAGACGTTCCAGTCAAGAAGTGGGCTATTCACTATTCAGAGCTTTCTGCCACTTCCTCCCCGGCAGCCCTCTGAGCACATCCCCTTTCTCTTAATCACACGTGCCCTCCTCGGCATGGTCGCTCACGTTCTTCCCACATGGATGCTGATTCTGGAAACCCGCCTTTTGGCAAGGACACTAGCAGCAGCAGCAACAGCACCCATCTCGGCCAACCTTCCTGAGCATGTACTGAGCCTCTATCAAGCTGCTCTGAACACATTTCATGCAGCAGCTGACCAGCCTCAGCACAATCCTGTCTGCGGCTCTCCTTCCCATTTGACAGATGAGGAGCCCCAGCACTCAAGGGGTGTCAGTGCTTGTCTGAGAGGAGACAGTTCGCCAGTGGCTGGGCAGTGGTGCAGACTCCTGTGGACTCTGCACGGAGCCCACGTGGCCCCCATCCACTGGACCCCCAAATGCATTTGTTTGATGAGCTCATCACCAACCCTGCCTGTGTATTCATGAAGACGGGGCCAGGACAGAGTCAGGGACGCTTGCTTCTCTTTCTGGGAAGCTTCAGTCCACTGGCCTCGGTTTCCTCCTCTGTGATACAAGTTCGGACACAGCCCCTGCTGATGGGCTGATGCTTGTGAAGCAGGCAAGACAATGCTCTTAAACTTGCCTGGTCCTTCCCAGGGGCTCCACCCGGAATGACCCGTCCAAAGCCCCGATCAGAATATTTTCTCTGATGTCTCAGTCTTCTCTGCCAACATCATCATTTGAAGACCTTCATTCTTTGGCGATCTTCGTATTCCTCGTCCATCTTTCCCATGCATAAACACCACGGCTCAGGTCAGGCCATGGGGTTTCTTTCCATGTAAACTAGAGGGTGCTTGTTGTAAACTATTGTTGGGACGCGGAAGACTCTACCGACCTCTGAGCCAGCCAGAGATAACCAAAGAGTTTGGTGTATTTCTTCTACTGATTTTGCTCCCGGGGACTCTCTGTGTTTAAGAAGATGTATAACCCATTTGCATCCAACGTGTTAACAGAGCTGTCACTCATGAAGGGGAGAAGGGGTCTCATTTGGCCTGGAGTTTATTCTTGGCAGCTGCTGCTGCTGCTGCTGCTGCTGCTGCTGCTGCGTCGCAGCTCTGTGGCCCCACCAATTTGTCTCTCTTAGAGTGGAATCAGGTGTCATAATCACCAACTGTTGCATGATCCATTGACCCGCACACAGCCCGATTTGGCCACCTCACCAATGAACAAGCTGGCAGGAGCCCAAGAATCAGGGTGGTTCGAGCAGAGCTTCTCCGCGGTGCAGAGCAAGCACCAGGGAACGTGTTGAAAATGCCCACTCTGACTCATCAGCTCCTGAGCCCCCGACCCGCGTTTCACTCGGGAGTCACCCCGGCGTGGCGCAAATAGTGCACTCAGCAGCTAGCCTCACAGTTGGCGGTTCAGGTCCACCCAGAGTCTGTTGGGAGGAAAGGCCTGGTGCTGTACCACTGAGCAAGCAGCCACGGGACACAAACACCTCAATCACATGGTGGCAAGGGGGGAGAGGACTGAACCAGTGTCATCCAGCAGATAATCCCCAGGGAGGCCCTGCAGTGGGTGATTGGGGTGAATGAGAGCAGAAGGGCTTGATCAAAGAGCAAGTACGACAACTGGAGACCCAAGCCTGGGAACCAACCAGTGGCTCAGAGGTCAGCTGTACCATGACTTCCCGGGGCCCCGCTGGATCCACATGGCCTTTGGCCTGACTTCAGCCCTCTCCCCAGGCCCCAACTTCCTTGGGAGTAGCCTCTTGCTGAGCAGACTGTCCCAGGGTGCTTACAGCAGTAGTAAGTCTCTGGGCACTCTCTCCATCCCTGCCTCCCTCCCTGCCTCCATAAATTGTCAGTGGACTGTCTAGCTATTTCCTGCCTCCTCTCTCTGCATTCAGTCAGCCCTAAAGAAATGTTGCTTCCATTCCCAGCACACCCAGGGTTCGGTGCCAGATGAGGCCAGGGATGGGCATATGCAAGGAGGTGGAGCATGCCCATGGCCTCCCTCCTCCCTGTCCCAGGGGGAGGCAGGTTCAGAGCTACCTCACAAGCAGTTCCCAGGAGGCACGTCCAGAGGGGCAGCTGAGAGCTATCTCCATCCCCCAGGGCCGTGGAGGCTGTTTTAGTCCAGCCCTGGGGAGCTCACCTAAGTGATGCCCAGTACAATTATCACTGCATCCCGGCATTGTGTTCGTACAACTCTCTCTGTTGACCAGGTGCTCCTTCACAGTCTCCTGTACTTGTGCTCCCATCAGTCCTGGGAAATCAGTGCTCCTGTTGCCGGTACCACTGAGTCACCCCCCACCCATAGCGACCCTACGCACAGGAGAGCGCCACTCTGCCCGGTCCTGCACCGTCCTCACCGTTGGCCACACACTTGAACCTATTGTGGCAGCCACTGGGTTCATCAACTTCATTGAGGGTCTTCCTCTCTTTTGCTGCCCCCCTTGACTTCTGAGCACCCCATTCCACACAGGAAGAATCTGAGGCTCTGGAGAATAAAGTGACTTGGAAGAGGTACGGCCAGAGTGCTCCTTGGAGGCGAGGAGGGTGAGGCTTTGCCTTAGATCCTTCGGACATGTTGTCAGGAAAGACCAGTCCGCGGAGGAGGACATCGCTTTTGGTAAAATAAAAGGGCAGAACAAAAGAGGAGGAAGGTTCTCAAAGAACGGATGCACACCGTGGCTACAACAACGGGCGCACGCATGGAAACAATAGTGAGGGTGACCCAGGACCACAGGGCAGTGTTTCGTTCTGGTGTGCATAACGGCGCTATGGGTCAGAACCCACTCCACGGGACCTCACAGTAAGGCCACACAGCCAGGAAGGGCGAATCTCATGAGTTTAGGGCTGGGGCCAGGCGTCTGGACACCCGTGCTGCTGGGGTGCCCAGACTCTGTGTCAGGCTACGTCACCCGCCTCCACCTCCTAAAGGCAGAGGGAGGCCTTGACAAGCTACTCGGGGCCCCGGCCCGGTCCTGGCTCCTCTCCTTGCATTTAGAGCCGACAGCCTGCTCAAACCTCTCACTGTGGTCTCTCGTCTGAGTCGCTATTTGTGAAGGACGAGTCACGGGAGGGCAATTCCTGCCACCAGTTTGTTTCTGAACAAGGAGGTGGATGTGGGCTCCCTGGAGGGGGGATACAAAATAAAACAGAAAGATCTCCTTAGCGTTTGGATTTGTAATCAGAGGAACACCCGGGGTAAAGAGGAGGGGGGATGATTTCTTCAGGGGGGTATAAACGGGAGAGATGCTCAGAGTCGGTGACAGCCGGGTTTAATTTATAATTCTGCCTCGGTGTGAAATGCACAGAGAATCGGGGGGAAATGAGTAATAATTCACTACGGTGCTGTCACAGCCAGGAAGCATGAGGGAGGGCCCCCTCTCTGTCAGCTCGCTGCTGCCAAGAGGGCTGAGGCAGAGGAAGGACACAGGAGAAGAGTGGGTCTCAGCATGAGATGCCGCCCCTGCTCCTCCACCCTGCGGACACCGCCCTCCTGTTGTCAGAGCAGCCCAGAAGCGCCCACTCAGGGCTGAGAGCCTTCCCCGAAGCTGGAGAAAGCAAGCATGAGCTTGTTCACCTCTCCCCGCTTCCTCCTCCTCCTCCTGCAGGCAGTTGAGAGAGAAGGTGGTCTGCCAAGCCAAGTGCGGCTCCTCACTTGGGACCTGAGGTCCATCGGAGGCAGAGGCGAATGTTGAGTAGCTGTGCGCTGAGCCAGTAGTGTGATAGAAAGAGACTGCTCGTGCTGATCAGGATGAGCTGGGTGATGGTGCTGTCATTAGCAGTCCCCAAATCTCAGTAGCTGAATCTTAACATTGACAGAGGGCGTGGGTGGGTGGAGCCTCTGCTCCACAGGGTCACCCAGGGACCCGCCTTTAGGCAGCAGCACCCAGAGGAACAAGCAGTTCTCCTCAGTCAATGCGGCAGTGAAGCAGGATGCTGAAGAATTACATGAGAGCTTTTCATGGCCACAAGCAGAAGAGGTGCTGGTCACGTCCACTCACGCCTCACTGGATGGAACTAGTCACGTGGCTCCAGCTGCAAGGGGTCAGAGGGGTCAGGGGAAGTCAGTGGGGGAAATGTGAGTAGTCTGTGTCTCCGCAGTCAGCGGTAGTAGTGAGACCCACACCAACTCCCAGCCGCCCTCACGGCCACCACCGTCACCACATCCTCGCCATTGGTCCGCCTTAAAAAAAAGGACTCTCCGGAGACACACACTGGCTTCTCCAGGGGGGTCATGTTCCTCGTGGATCAGCACGGAAAGGCCAAAGAGAATCAGAAGATTCTAGTTCAGGTCCCAGCTGGCTTACCCGCTAGCTGTGTGACCTTGGTCAAGTTGCTTAACATTGCTGAGCCTCGGCAACATCATCTCCCAACCGTAAAACGGAGTTAATAACATTTCATATCGTCATTGGATTATTGCCACCGTGGTTTTATTTTCTGAAGACCAGAACCCTTGCACACATTAGGGGCTGGAGACGTTTTTCCATGCTGAGCAGGATCGCTGTGCATCGAGGTTCTGGCTAGGGAGGTGTTGGCAATGAGTCGATGGTCCACACTGCTCACTCAACTTGGCTTTGGCATCTCTTGCCTTTGCCACTCCTGTGAGTGATGGTGTCCCTTTGCTCTCCCTGCAGGCAGACTTCCTGCTGGCTTCTACTGTGACTTCCAGGACGACTTCTGTGGCTGGACCCCAAGCACCCTGTCGCCCTACACACCCCAGTGGCAGATCAGGACCCTAAAGGATGCCGAGGGATACCAAGGTACTGTCCCTCGATTCCTTTCCCCTGGTGTCCATAGTGCTCTCGATTATGTAGATGAGAGACTTAGGGCCCCACCCCAAGCAACTGAGCCTCACTCCACTCTGCAGGATAAGCTCACGGTTCTGCGTGCACACACGCACCCCTCCTCAGATCTTCTGGGGCTTGAGACTGATTGATTAAATTTGGGCCCAGATAGGTAGTACTGTTTGTTCCTTTAAACTACTTGATGAAGGATTAGCTGGCAGATCAAGGTAAGGGCTATAAGAATAATCCATTCATAGGACACGTGCTTATTGAGGATCATCCAGGCTGAGCACAACCATTGAGACATGGAACTAACTGAGAGGCAGGGAGACCATGGGCCACTTTATAATGGGGGAACTCCCAGGTCTGCAGGTATCTCAGAGCTAAGATAACACAGGAAGTGAACCTCCTTGGGCAGGACATGGGACACAGGAGTACCTGGGCTCACTTGAGGGAGAGGAGAGGGAAGGACAGAGGGCTCCCTGGAGGACAGAGTACTGGCATGAGTAAAGGGAAGGCACAGGGAAGGAAGCCTGTGTCATTTGTGCCAGGTTGTGCCCTAGACCCTACATCAGGTCTAGGGCACCAACTCTTTAGACACCCGCTACCACCACCACAACTAGAACCCATGTGCACCACAGCCCACGTTTGGCTGCCCAAGCAGCAAAGAGCACACACCCAAGAGATGGCCACCCACACCCCCGGCTCAGAGACACTGGCCTAGGCAGTGTGTGTGCGATGGGAGAGGCGCTTCAAGGTCAGCACCACCATGCAGGCTGGGCTCTGGCAGAGGCTGAGCCGTCCGCTTCTTAGCAAGCCTCCCTCCCTCCCCTGCATTTGTCTGCTCTCTGGGGACCTTGAGCCCACACCCCTCTCGTTCTAAACAAAGACCGCACCTCCTATGAATGGTTTAGGGAGAAGAAATCAAAGCAATGATCACAATAATTTATGAGCAAGGACAACATCTGGCCAACCACTAAGCACCCCTGTGCAGTGAGGTCAGTTCTGGCCCTCAGAGTTGGCTGTATCTGAGGGGACTGGCTTGGGGTCAGCACCTCTTCACAATGGCCCTTTTGGAAAGAAGGCAGCCATAGGAGAGTTTTACAGGGGCCCGTCCTCCCATGAGGAGGGTCCAGGGACTCCTGCTTCTCCTCCCTGCCTCCTCACCACACCGCATCGCCCTGGGCACCCTGTCTGTATTGGAAAGAGTGGCAGTCCTGGATGTCTCTGATCTCAGTATGAGAGTTGCCCCTCCAGCTCCCATAGCAAATACCTATCCTGTCCTCGTGGACTCCATCCATTGACAGAGCCCTCACTGCCTCTGAACATGGCCTACCTACAGCTGAAGAGCATAGAATTGTGATCCCTACCTTGAAGCTCTACCTCTCTATACCGTCAATCCATTGAGCAAGCCGTTGCATCCTGGAAACGTGCAGAACCAAACCACTGTGGCCCCACCAGATCGCCCTTGGATAATTTGAAGGCAATTGTCATGCACCCAACAGCAGGAGGTCTCTTCACCCCCCAGGCACATACTTCAGCTCCTTGAATCTTCTTCAGGGAGAGATGGTATGCTTCCAGAGTTCCCTGGTCTTTCTTGGATACTCTACGCTGGACCCACCGGAATGTTAGTAGGTGGTAGCTCAGTAACACTCTCCCAGAAGATGGAGACCAGTAGAAAGGAATGGCTAAAGGAAGGCTCCTAGTTCTGGGAGGCTCAGACGAGGCTGTCACCTCACTGTGGAACCATCTCCGCAGCCCTTCCCATCTGGAGGACGCTCCGTGGTGCCCAGAGGTTTACAGGTGCTTTTTGCATCACCACTCAGGGTAGGGCTTCAAGTCTCCCAGGTCTGCAGGCAGCTCAGAGCTAAGATAACACGGGAAGTGCACCTCCTTGGGCAGGACGTGGGACACAGGAGGACCTGGGCTCCTTTGAGGAAGAGGAGAGGGACGGACAGGGGACACCCTGGAGGGCAGAGTGCTGGCATGAGTAAATGGGCAGGGGTGGGGAGAAGGGGACATGCTTCAGGCTGCCCCCAGGCAGTGGGCTAACAGAGGTGACCATGGGAGGTCAGTGTGCAGATTCCAGGCAGCTTGGGATGAGCATTGTGCACGAGTCAGCGTTCACTGGTGTAACAACCAGGCTTCTCGTATTCACTATGGAGCAGAAACGCAGGTCCTCAAAGCAGTTCCATGAGAACGTGCAGACCCCAACAACTGTGGCCCCTCAGCTCCCTAGAATCCTTCCATTCCTCGTGATGGTGCTTTCTCAACCTTGACCCTCTCTCCCCTAGGCCAAGCCCTGTCGCTGAGCACCACTGACGTGCCCACGCCCGCGAGTGCGACACTGACCAGCGCTACGTTCCCCGCGCCCATGAAGAACTCTCCATGTGAGGCAAGTGCCCCTGTTCTTCTCGCTCTCTAACGCCTCTGGTCACGTCCAGATAAACACCCCGCACTAAAGAAGGTGGCCCGATGGCTGGGTGGTGGTGCTCGTGGGATCAGCCCCGCACCAGAGAGAGAGTTCTTTTGGCTCCTAGTCCTTTGGGCCTTTCTCATCTTCCAGTGAGAGGACAGCCATCTAAACGCTAGAGTCCCATCTGCAGAGACTCTCATTTACAGGAAGCCCTGGTCTCCCACAAACCAAGAGACACTTTCCAGGGGCCCGGTGATGAAGACTTGCCAAAGACTTTCTCCAGAACCCCTTTCTTAAAATATCAAGGCCTCATAATTCATGTCCAGCATCCAAAATTAGATTTACAGTGAACCCTCGTTTATCGCGGTTAATCAGTTCTAGACCCTACCGTGATAAATGAAATTCCGCGAAGTAGGATTCCTTATTTGTAAATCAAATATTTTCGTAGTTAGAGCATAGAGGACATGAAAAAACACCCTTTAGTCACCATTACACTCGTATTACCCAATTTATTAAACGAAAAAGGGAAAATACAGTAAAACATTTTGGATGTTACAATTATCATTTATTATTTATTATATTATTTATGGCATCTAGTTTACAGTCTTACATATTTCACATACAGTATTATTATACATAGTTCTTACAAATACTGTAATCAATAGCCTATGAAATGACTTAAGGGATGTACTCTACAGTGGGTCGCCGTCTTTTTCCTCTGAAGGAGCGGGTGTAGGCAGTGGGTGCTGTCACGCAAAAACCGTGATAGAGTGAAGCCCCGGAAGTCGAAGCGCAAAGTGGCGAGGATTCACTGTACATAAATTTCACGTAAGATGTCAATGGCCTTCAGGGAGGCACCTCCGGAGCCACTTAGCCAATGGTCCCCGAGCTCATCCCTCTTTGAGGGACTGGCACCATGACCCTTGGTATTGTTGCTGGTAGGTGTCATTGGTCCGTTCTGACTCATCATAACCCTGTGTTCAACCGAAGGAAACACTGCCTGGTCCTGCACCATCCGCCTCACCATTGAGGCTGTGCTGCAGCCCATTGGTGTAGACTTGGTCAACCCATCCCCTTGAAGGTCTTCTTCCCTGCCCCTCTACTCTGCCAAGTGTGATATCATTTTTTCCAGACACTAGCCTCTCCTGATCGCTTGTCTGACATATATGAGACAAAGCCTCGCCATCTCATTTCAGAGGGACCTTCTGGATTTCCCTCACACTGAACTCATGGATTCTGAGTCAGATCACCCACATCCAAGCCAAGCTCCTCCACTCATTGGGTGCAGGTTGTTTGGACAGGTGATTAATCTCTAAGCCCCTCACTTTCCTCACGGGGAGAGTGGAGCCATTGGAGGGCCGACCTCCAAGATAGGAGGATTCACCGGGTTAGAGAAGAACTTCGTGCTTGGCCAAGTTGAAGGTCAGCAACAAGCGAGGCTGCCCTCGATGCGAGGGATTCACACGATAACCTCCGCAATGGGCGCCAACAAGGCAAAGGTCCTGTTCTGTTATCGGGGTCACATGAGTTGGAGCCTCTTCAGCCACCAACAACAATGGCACTTGTAAAGGTTTTAGGACAGTGCTTGGTACAAAGCCCCAGGACAGCTGGTAGCCATCTGTGTTCTTTTAAATATGTGAGTACCCAAACGGGGGCCCTTTGGGCAGCTGGACAGTGGCTGGCATTCAGTAGGCCTCGGTCAACATTCTTCTCAACAATAGAAAAGAGAACGGGAGACCAGGAAGAGGCGTTTAGCTGAGGTGAGCAGATTTAAAGTGGGACACGCTTGTTGGTGGTGGGGTTCTTGATTAAAAATTTGGTCTATATGGACCAAATAGACCGTTCCCTAACTTGCCGTGCATTCTTTCCAAAAATCGGGACTTTTTTAAAATGCCAAAACTCAGGACTGTCCCGCTAAAAGCCGGACGTCTGGTCACCTTAGTATGGCTAGGAATTGGACCCCACCCTCTTGGAGAGCAGGAGGCTTCCTGGAGCGTCTTGGGCTCTCCTGACGCCTGCATCAGCACCTCCAACACAGCAGAACGCCAACACGGGTTTTGGATTTGGCCAGGGCGGGACACCCACGGGAGAACTTCCTTCAAAAAGACTGTGCCGTGGCCATTGGTCTCCTCCCAAGTGAGGACGCCACACACCTGCGCAGAGTCTGACTTCCTCCTCCTTTGACTGCCAGTCTCTGAGGAGGTGGCACTTGGAGAAGCAGAAGTGTGTGTGTGTGTGTGTGTGTGTGTGTGTGTCGGGGTGGGGGAGGGAGAAGGAGGCGTCCCCCTGCGGGGCAGCTTCAAGCCCTCAAGGGAATTCGGGGAATCCAAAGGCACAGACTTAAGTAAGAGTGGGGCAGGCGTGGAGGTGAATGTTCGCTTCCTCTGGGCAATGGGGAGATGAAATATGAAAGCAAATACGACGCCACGACAGGCCTTCTGGCACCAGCAGCCCCTGTATTTAGAACTCGGCATTTTCCCGACTCGCCCGTGGGCCTTTCCACTTTATGTTATCTTACCCGATTTTATGTATCTCTGTGAGCCACCTGAAATCCTTTTTGGAAGAAGTCAGGGCACCAACAAATAGATTCATTAAATTAAATTGTATTTGAGGAACCGCGCTATCTGATGCAGATGGTGAAATTGCACAGTCATCTTTGATATTTCTTCGGCGCCTGGGCATCTTAAGAAGAAATCAGAATGAGGCAGGATGGTAGGCGCACCTGTGAGCCCACATTAAACACATTTGATCTTTAAATTTATTTTTCACTGGCTGTAGCATGAGTCTCATTTCCGAAAAAGAAATGTCAGGGTAAAAATGAGATTTTCCTAATACTTCATCATTTCTCTAATAACCTTTGAGTTGATCAATAGCTTAAACAGGTGTTTTGTTTTACTGGCATGTTTTCTTTTTTTTCCTTTTATCCCTTCCAGTCGATGTTGCTCTGGGCAATTTCACTGTTCCCTGCCCTTTTCCAGAACTGGGCTCAGTGGGCAGGCAGGCAGGCGTAATGAAGGGAAGGGAGCAAGTCCACGGCCCTCGCTGCTCCCCTGGTTGTCTTACCTTCCGGTTTCAGACCATTCATCTCAGGCTGATGGGTTTTTAAGTTCCCAGTGTTGGGGGGAAATGTTTTCATCAGAAAAATAAATAACCAAAATGGAAAATATGCATTGGAAGGTTGGTAAGCCCCGTCATTTATTTTATCTGAATCCCAACTATGGGAGGCAGCAAGTTGATTTCCTTCTCCGGGGCTTGCTGGTAGGGAAACGGGATATTGCCTTGCCGTATGCACACTAGGTTCACCGGCACCTTCAGACCCCACCGAGCGGATCCGGGTCCGAGGGCAGCCTCTGCTGGCTGTGGGACACAAGTATAGGAGGATGAGGCCTTGGGAGATAGCCCTCAGGAGGGTTAGGTCCCCGCGACAGGCGGCTGGTCGAGCTGAGCATCCAGGCTGACACCAGGAGCCTCCTAACCCACCACAGTCCGTCTTCTCCAAGCCCACCCTAATCCTGACCCATCAGCCCACCACCAGGGAGTTGAAGTAATGGCCAGACATGTCAAAAAGCTCCCTAAGAAACCCCACAATCGTCTGTGCATTGCCAAAGGGGGGGAGGCCCCTGTGTCTCCTGAGATGGGATGTTTTTTGGAAGATC